TTATTTACCCCCACTATTTAATGCTTTTTTTGTGTTCCGAGATTTTTCGGAAGCCATTTCAGCACCATCCACACTTTTTTTTTTTATCTGTAAGCATTCTCCATTTCCTCTGGGCATTGCACTGTGGGAGAATATCAACAGCACTATCACAAACTGGTCGTATTCAGTATGCTTTGAGTATAATTTATTTTATTACTTTTCCACTGTGAACACACTAGATACTAAAACCCTGCTTAGAATCAGCATGTATTATTTGGCAGAGGGAAGATTACGAAACTGTAGCATCAGCCTCATACACTATTTACAGATTGCTGATCAATATTTATATACTGGCTGACCATAAATAAATTTGTGGATATTATTAGTTGGTATGACTTCCTTTTGGGCAGAAGAAATTGGCACATGTAACTGCAGAAAGTGAAAGCTCATTTGGGTGCCAGTAACAACACAAACTCACCAGCCGGGTCTGATGATCCGGTATTTGCCGAGTACTGATAGGTCAACCACGGTTGATCCGAGGCGGCTCTGGTCTCCTATTGGTCCGCCATCCACCACCACTGCCAGCTTGGGCCAGAGCTCCTCAAACTCCTTCAAAGGAAAAACACAGCAGAGTTAACGTTTAAATAGCAATTTTGTTTACTCCAACCTGAATTAAGATGCCGGGAAAAAAACTGAAAGAAATTTTAAAAATCTAATGAATGTGAGACTCCTGATTGTACTTTTCCCACACTGTTTCACTTACATGTACGGCCACGGTGCTGGTGTGTGAGCTGATGTTGGCGCTGGTGAGTGCGAGTGGTTCCGCACACATCTGGCAAAGGCGTCTCATAAAGGCATGGTCTGGGATACGAACGCCTACAAGCTGAGGAGCACATGGACTTGTAAACAGATGATTGACCCATTTGTTTGATACGTTATTTTCTGTACGGACTTACCGAAGTAAAGGGGTTGAGATCTGTGTTCAGTACTTCAGATCTTTCAAACACCAGAGTGACGGGACCAGGCAGTAGGTCACCTAACAGCGCTTTCGTCACCGTCACCTTACAGTACCTGTCCATAGGGACAAAAACAAGCCGTGTTTATGCTGGGCAGTGGTACATTAAGTCATTATATGAAAAACACAGTTTAGATAGCGTTGCACAGTTTGACATTGTAATCTTGTGAAGTTCTATATTTAATCCAGGATGTTGTCATTTGGTAGCCTGCCTCATCTCCACTGCATTAATTTGTGATTTACTTAGAAATGCCTTCATTTAAAAACATATTTTCCTAACCAATGAATTAATGAATACTGGGGTATTTCTGTGACAGCAGGTGTGCCCGTCGCTCAAAATGTAAAATGTGTCTTGTTGGTGTGGAGATGGTATCCCTGCCTCTTCTGCATGTGACTCTTCTGTGCACGACTAATATATTTGCGCAGTATTGTAGGTCCACAGAGAAATCATCGCACTACTGAGAGATGTCAGAGATACCACCTTCTCATGTTCACTAGTAAAACAGCCTCGTATGTACACTTACTTATAAATATCCTGAGTTTCTCCTACACAGATGGCCAGTGGTTTCTGTCCATTGCGTCGTTTGATGTTGTACATTTTTCTGACGGCTTCAGAGTTCTGGGCCAGACAGGCCAGGCCGTAGATGGTGTCTGTGGGGACAGCAACCACATGACCCTCCTTCAGAGCCTTCACCGTGCAACTCAGGATTTCAGCACCATCTGCAGTTCAAAAACAAGGAGCGTCAATGACGCATCATCCACTGCATGATAACAAAACATTGAGGGTAAAACATATACAGGCTGCTTTAATCAGGTCAGTTGTATATGTTAAATGGATTTTGGGGTAGTGAAGGGCTGAAAGAGAGAAACTAGCAGATGAGGACAGTAACACATGGCATGTATTGCTCAATAACTGCACAAAATGGGCACTCCACTGGTTTTACATGTGAACATTTAAATTTAACCAGTGAAAACAGTTGTCTTCAGTGGCTCTTGTCAAAAATGTGGGTGTGCGAGACATGTGCAGTGTCTAACTATTGAGTTGCATTATGGGAAGTGTAGCATTCAGATATTTTGGAGCCTAACCAATACAAGGGATAAAAAGTAAGGATTTTTAAAAGTCTGCTTCTTGTGAGTCCCCTAAATGTATTCTGATTATCATTTGAATTCTCATTTAAGTAAAGCACAAGTACATCAAAGCAATACTTACTGTGTTACTTCATACATCTGTACTGTCTATTCAACTACACTTATCTAATCGCTGTGTTTAGTCAATGAGTTCTTTGCAGAATAAAAATTTGCAGGCAAAACATATGATAAAGTCATAAATATGATAAATAGCTATAGTATCCATTACCCAGCTGTCAGTAGGAGAAGATGTATTCAGATCCTTTACAAAAGTAAAAGGTCCTGCATTTAAAACCATACTTAAGTGGTTTGGTTTTCACTGGACCAGAAGGGTATTAGAATTGTAATCTTAAAAAAGGTAAGTACTAAGACAAATGTAATGGAGTAAAACTTACAATATTTGCCACTAATGTGTACTGGAATAGATGTATAAAGTTGCATAAAATGGAATCACTCAGGTAAAGTACTAGCACCTTGAATTTTTACTCAAGTAAATTCCTTGAGTAAATGTACTTAGTTACTTTCCACCACTGCTAACTGTAGTACTTTAAGTAGTTACATTAACATTATCACACACATATATGCATCAGTGATGTAACACTCTAGAAGGGGCCATTCTTCATATTGAGTCGCTTTAATGACAGATCATAGTTCATCAAGTCCTCACATCTAATATTTAAGCACATTTGCTGTTAATCTGTCCATACTTTTATGTAAGTAACAGTTACTTTTCAAAGTAGTACATTGAAAAGTTGTCTTTTACATAAATTTTAATTAAAAAAAAACAACATTTTACATCCTTTATTCCTTATTTTATTGAAGCACAGAAATAGCATGCTACTCCCAAAGCACCATCGAAAGGAAGGACTAACTGTGTGTCACCTGATGACATTATAAATAAATCTTTGATGCCCTGATGTCCAGTTTGTTCAGACAGCTGCCTGTTTATAAAGTATATTAACTTTACTGTCCAAAGACATAAGTTCTGTATAGGTGTGGAGTCTGCCTTCAAATCAAACTGGGGACAGGTTCATGTCATACATGGCAGGAAAATCAGGAACCTGATGAAACACACTGCGGCGGTGAATCTTTCTGCAATACCCGAAATCTATCAATGCCATTTACCTATTTCCAAAACCTATAGTCTATAGGAACCCACGTGCACTTTTGCTGTGAATGATGACAGAGCTAACCTGTTTGGCCCTCCGACGGTCCATTGGAGGTCGGCGGCAACAAACGCAGCACTTTGGTCTTCAGCTCTTTACACATTTCTCCTCCGAGTCGACGAGCTTCGGCCGAACTGTGAGCTCCTCTGGATTTTAATAATTCAACCGCGATGTTACAAACAGACCTCATACAAACAGATCTACAGCCACGGATGTGTCATTTTACAGCCGGGGAGCATGTTGTCGCTTGACGAAATTACAGAAGTCTTCCGGGTTACACCCCCCAAACATGACGCAAACTTTCTTAAACGGCCAGCAGCACAAGTTAAAAAAAAGTCAATAACCAAGTTTGGACTTTGAAGCATTCATTATGTGATGTCTGTTTAAGTGAATCAAGTGATGCTGTGATTCTAATCGCTCTTTTGTGGAGCGTACATGGAGTTCTCGTTAAACTGTTGTTTTTGAAACGATTTCTCTACATATATTCGTTGGGACATTTCTGTGCTGTTTGGTTTTATATGATGTCTGTAGTTCATAACAAAAGCGGTAGCCTATATAACGTTAGACAAGAGTTCCAATATTAGTTCGTTGTTCGTTCATAACAGAACCCCTGTTAAAAAATGTCAAAATTGCATTCAAACGATCCATAACTATACCAACCTTATTTAAAACGCTTAATATATTAAAAGAGATCATTGTTTACGTTATCGGCTTATCTTTTCTTTTTTACTTAGCCTTTTATTTTTGGAAATATATATCTGGGATTTTCTCTTACTCTCCAACAGACATTGCGCACACTGACGCTTAATTAATTTATACATTTAGCCAACCAGCTCTCCTCATTTCTCATTAATTAAGAAAATGTCAGTCACCTGTGACCACTGCTTAAAAGCGCAGAAAGCACGCATAATATGTAAATGCAGCGTGACAGGCCAACTATGTCTACGGCCATGGCCTCGGACCCAGGTAACAAAACACGCAGCTTTTCAGTTTATTTGTCTCTCCATTTCTTCTAATGTGTCTGTAAAACTGGTAAAGCTTGTACGGAAGACGCAGTGAACTTGCGGACTGTTGAGGGCGTTTCATCGGTCCAACAGGTCAGCCACAATGAGAAGCATGAACATTTGATGGCTGTCTATCCCAAACTAACTGGTGACCAACATGTTTTGTCCTCCACAGAAACTGGAGGGCGTCGAGGACAGACTACTGACCCTGTCTGAAAAGATAACCCTGTGCAACAGAGTCCTGACTGACCTAAAGGATCTAAGTGATGTTGTAGAGGTGAGCTCTTCTTTCTCTACTTGGATCCTTGTGACTTGTTGCAGATTCTAAAGTTAATCTTATGTCCCACAGAGAAAATCTCTCCAGGATGTGTCCTTACTACCCGCAGAAGTGACCAGAAGTGTTGGTTTTGTTTGTCCTCTTTGATAATAAACTCAACTAAGAACTGTCATTTTTGACTGCAAAAATGGTTATTAAGCAGAAGATGCAAACATTTCAGTGACAAGGATAAGGTTTTATTATTATATTGCTCTCAATTCAGAAAGTTATTTATAATACTTTATACAAAACCAAGCATAAGCAAACATTTTCACATTATACAATCTCTTTAAAAAAATACAAATCCTTAACAATTCCTCACTCTTTGGGTGTCCAGACATTCCTTTGGAAGCATATCACCGTGTTGCCTGCGCCCCCCCCCCCCCTTTTAAAAATATTGCTGCCCATTGGGGGAGGGGAAAATGTTGGTGCTGGCAGAAATACTCAGTTTCCAAAAATCACACTGGCTATACATTTGATCAAACCATGTGCTTCCAAAACAATGTCACCATCATTCACTCTGCTTGCTGATTAAAACACGGCAGCAGCTTTAAGTTTGACTTTCATTGGTGAAGATGAGCCAGATTATCCACATGTCAAATATAAATGTGAAAGGCTGAGATGATTACAAAGCAAGCCCCAATGAAACATGTTTATGCATTAAAAGAGAAAACAATCCATACATTTGACCAAAAATAATTCTTAAAACAGAATCAGTCATTCTTTCAGTACTCAAAACAAATCCAGTTGGTTTTAAACGGCATGTAAAGGATGTGGTCAACATTCATGGGAACAGTACTTGGATGGGCACGCTGCAAAGTCCAGATTCACACCACTCCAAATGTGGAAAACAAAATGCTCTATGCTGGAGTTCAGGAAACATGCGTAACATATGGATTGAAAAGGCAGCTTTTGACTCTGGAGTTCAGCACATAAGGTTGTAGCAGAATATCCTTTCATGGAGGGAGGAACAAATCTTGTCTTGGAATCACTATTTAAATGCCACACTTCAATTTGCATAGTTGTTTAATGACAGTATGCATGTATGAGAATATATATTTGATGTATGAGCTTGACTCCTGGCAGTAATTTCAGAGTGCCTTAACAGGGAAATGGTAAGTTAACATTTTGTAATCCAATGGAGCCAAACAGACTCTCTTACCTAATACTGCATATATGGAATGGTTGAGCACAAAATGTGTAACTGGAGCCTTTCACAACATCTTAACCACCTTTGAAGGAAAGCTCCACTGAAAATATGGCAGAAGGAAACAAAATAAAAAAATCAAGACACAATTTATGCGACATGCATGTCAGTTTGGTTAGATCCTACAGCCTGGACCTAAAATGCAGAATCACATCACCTGCATCTGTTATGTGGCAGATTATATTTTTAGCAATGCTGCATTAATGACTTTCTACTGGAAAACGATAGACTCTAGGAAAACCATAAGCTTTGTCTCAAGGCTTTTGCTGTATTGCAATCCACTGCTGTGATTGCCTGAGACTCAATGAAGAGGATTGGCATGTCAATGGCAAGTCTGAAGCAGAGACTGTCAAGGTAAGGAGGCTCAAAACAGTTCTGTTGTAAGGCCATGTGGCTCTACACTCTTAAGATACAGGGCATATGCCTTCGATCTATCATCATTGCATTGTGTCCCATGTGAAACAATACTGTTGGATCATACTCTGAGCAGGTGGCTATGAAGTACATATATTGTTATTATGGGGACTGTACAAAAGCCCAGCTGCTAGTATAATTATTCAACTAAACACAGCAAAAACTTCTGCATAAATGTGACTGGGGGAAGAATGCAAGGATAGAGGGTATACTTTCGCTCCAAACTCTGAGAGTTAGTAATTCAAAAGTCTATACAAAAATACAAATTCTAGAATAATCTACACGTTTCTCAAAGATGTTTACACTAAGGTGTACTGTATTTACACTGTCACCAGGACATAGTCTTTTAAATGCTACTTTACAGCAGTTGTATACAAAAATCTGTAGTGGTGCTGCACCTCAGCTAACATTAGCTGTCAGATTACTCACTTTACAACTTAGTGTGCAATTAACAGGGAAGAGTGCAGCGAAATGTAGGGCTACTGCAAGTGTGGGGCATCTGGTAAAAACTGTCCGAGTAACACATTAAGGGAACCAGAACCCAGTATCCAGAACCAGTTGACTTGATGCATCCCTGAGAGGGTCACAACCCTATGAAATATGGGATGTTGACAGTAGTTCCTTACTTTTTCATTGTGGCAAGCAGATCCTAGAGGAAAATTTGCTTCTGTGCAGTCTATAACTATTGGTGTCTCTTTCTCAAACTTGCTTTAAACAATACCCATTACGTTCTTAAAAAAAAAAAAAAAAAGCAATTCAGTAACATAAAAACAGCTCAACTTAAAAATACAACAAGTGATTGGAATAAATTAATATATTTCTCTTCTATCTTGAAAATATTACCAGTATAATGAAAGAATCAAGCATTTAAATAAATTAACATGTACAAATTTAAATTAGTTAAGTTATAGGCAACTTATTGATGTATTGACTTAATTTCAGGCAGATCTGGTCACAGGTTCTTTTTCTCAATTAGTAAACTGTCAAAAGAAGTAGAAAAGAATAATCACATTTTCTGGACTATACTAGTCTTCCTAGGAAACAAAAGTACTGAGGAAATCATGTCATACTGTATGACAGCAATGAGGGGCTATGTGGCCAACCCTCAAATTCCTACCGGGAGCAATGCTTGATAAAATTATAGTAAATTCCTCTAATATACAGTGCATTCTGGTCAGTTGCATACCAGCTTTAAGGATTTGTTCGGACCTGTAGTACAGTACAAAGATATACAGACAAGTTTTGGTTTCCTGCTCTGGTGTGATCTTCAAGCCAGGAAAATGGAACTCATCAGTGCATGGACAACACTCATTTTTCATTCAACCAATTCGAGTTGATATTGAGGGATATCATGTACATTTGATTATGTTTATAACAAAGGATTTGCTGCCTTTTCCCTGCATTAAAGTTGCTAAATCTCCAAAGCAAACTAATCTTGTTTCTAAAGTCTCAACAGAAATTATTCATAGTTCATGTATATATGTTGCGCAATGCCATACAGAACATAACGCACTGCAGGTACAGGGGGTTCGATGCACACACTATATAGAGAGAAAGAAGAGGTGTCACTGTGGAGAATAACTCGCGATGTGGGTGGAAATGATGCCTGTGGAATTGATGCCTGTGGCTGAGTGGGTGCAACCAACACATGGTGGCAGACTCAGAAGTCAGCTCTAAGTATTGCCATCAGTGGCCATGTTGAAGTCTTCAGCGACCAGCAGCAGAGCCTCAATGTTGGCAGCAGTCTCAGGGCTCTGCAGGGAGAGGAAGTCCGAGACATCCATGTTAGCTAACCCGTCAGATGAGGGAGGGCTGGTGGCAGTGCTGCTCACTATAGTGGAGAAAGTTTGAGCTGAGCCGGAGGAAGAAGTAGGGGGCCTCCAACCTCACCTCACCACCCACCTTGGAGGAAGACTCGGGAAGGCAGCACGAGGAAGATGAGGTGGCTGGATGGTGAAGAGGCTCTGGGGGTTGTAGCGGTGGGGGAGGAGGCGGCTCTGATGGTTGAGGCGGTGCTGGGGCTGAAACAATGGAGGAGGCACTCTTTGAACTCTTATCTTTAGCAGAGTCCCTGCAAGCACACTGGCACTGGCAGGATTCCTCCTGTTTGATGATGATGACTGGCAGGCTGAGGCCGATCTGTTGGACTGAGCTGCCTGAAAACACAAAGAATGTAAAGTTAACTGAAAACAAAAAGGACAAAACAAAGTGGCTAAGTTGATTGAAATCAAATATCTTGCAAAGCATATAAAAGTGAAATATTTAAGAGGTGAGTAATGACTAATTTCTTAGAAGTTGGTACTCATTAGTTAATTGAGAAGAGGACAAGAGTTAATGCCACTGGTACTCAATTGATGACTTCAAGCAAGTGATCACTTGCTCCTTAATAAGAGTTAACTTTGAGTAAAACTGCAATCAGAAATACTTTGGCACTACTCTTTTGAAGAGGATAATAAGGATAATATATAATTGATCAAACCATGCCAAAAATTATCTGATTTCAGCTTCTCAACTGTGAGGATTTGCACCTTTTCCAAAGCTTTATATCATCAAAATAAATATTTGTTTTAGATTTGGACATTGAAAGACAACTCTTGCCCTTTTTCACTCTCTTCGTACATTTTACAAACTAAATGACTAACTAGAAGAAAAATCTATTCAATATCACTTGACATTACTTTTTTCATCACTATCTAAACACTGTGGACGAACCTGCAGTACTTGAGTGTTAAGAGTGGGGTGGTGATGGAGCAATGGATAAGACAGATGCCTTTGATGTGAGAGACCTGGGTTCGATTCCCACTGTGACCCATCCACCGTTGTGTCCCTGAGCAAGACACTAAACCCCTAGTTGCTCCAGAGGCGTGCAACCTCTGACATGAATAGCAATTGTAAGTCGCTTTGGATAAAAGCGTCAGCTAAATGTAAAATATAATATATATTTAAGACTGGTCAAAATCATCTTCATCTTGATATCTGTGCAACAATACCTGTTCTCTTCTCATCCTGAATGTTTGAAAGTTATTGCTCCTGTGCTGTTTACTGTTCAAATGTTTTATCAAACATTTTAAAGGGATGCTGATTTAACTGTTCTAGCACTGTGCATTAATTAAGCATCTTGGAACTGCATTTGTGTAATGAAACCATTGAGAGAGTTAGTGGAACTCTGACACCAATCTACCATTTAATTAATCCTTAAAGCTAAGTACTGCGGTGGATGTCAAAAAAAATTTATGTTTTTATTAAAGCCCTTTGGCTAAAGTCCACAACATCGAATCACTTTTCATTGACTTACCAGCATTTCCTCCCACTGGTATGGCTGTAGTGAAGAAAACCTTTTCCACTTTTGGAGCTCCTTGATGTGGCTGTAAAAACAAACAAACACCACAGTTCAAGCAGGATATAAAAAGCTGGAGACACGCTAGAGTATTATGAGGTTGATTTGCACCATATTTCTAACTGTACTAAGGGGTTGTGGTTGATGTATGTATGTTGTATTAAAAGTAATACCAATGAGAATATTAAAAAAGAAAAACCATACCTATCCCCACTGTTTTGCTTTACATATTAATTTGTTAAATTTATGTTTTTGCAGAATTACTTAAGTGACTTACAATTACTACATGTGTCAGAGGTTGCACGCAGTGGGAATCAAACCCATGTCTCTCACACAAAAGGCATATGACTTTTCCACTAGGCCATTGCCACCCAATGGCGCAGTGGATAATACCGATCAAGTCACCACTTGTCTGTGCAAAAGCTGTGTGTAAGCATTACTCACTGCTTGCTCTGGGTTCTGCTGGCTATTGGCAGCACTGCTGAGGATCCACTGGAGGTTTTGGTCAGACATGACCAAGCTGGGCTGCAACAGGTTCTGGGTGGGAGCTATGGTGATGGTGGCAGGAGTGGCAGGCAAACCAGTGCCAGAGTTAGGGACAGGGTTGTTAGCCAAAGGCACAGGTTGAGCCACAGCTGCCAAAGCGTCTGTTGTGGAGGCCGCAACAACAGACACAGCAGCAGGGCCTGGAGCTGTGGTGGTCTGTTCTGGAGCCACTGGAGGAGGAGCGGTGATGGGTGGTGGTAGAGGAGTGGTCTGTGTGGCACTATCAGGCTGCAGGAATGTGGGTGGCAGTGCCACGTAGTGCTGGGGGGTGACGTTGCTTGGAGCTTGGACAGAAGCCTGGGCAGGAACATCAGAGATCTGCTGAGGCCCGGCTAGTTGCGTGAAAGGAGTAGGCTGTGTGGAGCTGATAGTAGTGGTTGCAGAGGCAGGGGTGGAGGCCAGAGAGGGAGAGGTCTGACTGAGCTGGGAAGGAGCCTCCATGACTGCAGTTGTGTGGCAACAGGAAGAAGAGGAGGTAGGATTGAGAGAGAATGAGATGAGAGACGAGCCATCAGTCACTACTGGGTGGGCAGAGGTCTCTAGGCTGAAGGGTTCAGCAAGGCTCTCTGAGGAAGGAAAAAAAAAAAAAACACACTCCATCAGTGAACAAGAACATTCAATACAATGCAACCTGACAGATTTTGATATGTACTGACCGTTGGGATGGGCATCATCTTGGCTGACACTATTTTCAGGACTCTGGAACATAAGCTCAAAGATTTTCACAGGGGTCACGTTGCTGAGGTCCAAATTTTGAGCCTGTAATAAAATCAAATCTTAATAAACCATTTTGTGACTTTACAACTACAACAGCCAGGAACATTTTACTTCCAAATTCTTATTACAGTGAAAATTGAGGTGTCAAAATAGCTGCCTGTTAATTGACATATTTACTGTATATCTTGACAACTCCTCAACATCTTCAATCCAATGTCTGTTTGGCAAAGCTAAAGCAAGGCCAGACTTACGTTATGCATGTTCTCTCGAAGCTCTGAATCTGTAGAGATGAGGCTCAAATCACTGAGGCACAGCGAGTGATTTGCATCCTGTAATTAAGAGATGAATGGGACCTAATTAAACTTGCCACTGCTATGGGATCAAGTGCTGAGTCATGCAAACAAGATACAGGAACTAAATTGGAAATGAATGCGACGCCTACTGTATGTTAATGTACAAATCCAGGCTTTATGTGAAGGCACACTTTACCACAAAAGGTAAACTAGCAGGTAATGGGATCATTACTTTTCCAACTATTCCTTTTTAGAAGAAGTAAAAATGTGTATTCATACAATTAGTTTAATCTACAGCTACTTGTGTTGCATAATAAATTTCAGATTTGCCGTGTTTAATGCAGTGTAGTGTGAACCCCTCAAGCTGCAAATGTTCGCATTTTGCGGGTATGCAACTTTTGTTTTTGCCTAACATGCTCTTTAGAATGACTCCCATCAAGAAATATAACTTCAAGAAATGCCCCCAACATCAACAGGCACATGTTACATAGACTGTGCATGGAGAGCATGGCAACTGTGCCGACAACAACAGACAAAGTCTCCTACACTGAGAAGTTGCTGTTCTGTGACTCACTTCGGAGAGCGGATGGGTGAGGGTGACGCTGAAGGGCTGTCCTTTGTCGTGGCCCCGGATGTGACTCTTCAGACTGTACTGGCTGCTAAAAGTCTTCTCACAGCCATCACTGGGACAGTTGAATGGCTTCTCCCCTACAGAACGAACACAGAGAGGGAATAACGCAGAATGGTAAGAGCTCATTTTTACAGCATAATCTTAATTTACGTCACAATAAAAAACACAAAACTATCGACAATGTCAGTCAGACAACGCCCATTAACTGTAATTAAATACTCCACAACATATTGATTGCTCAATGTTAAACTTACATTTCATTGCTTTATAGCATGCACACAACTGGAAACACTGGAAAGCAGTTTGAGCACTGAATCTAATATTTCTCTATCTTTTCATCCAACAGGTGGTTTATTAGATTAAAAACAAAGGTCAATTCTCCTAGACTGGAACATGAGTACGTTTAGGAGATCGACAGGTTGGTCTGATGCTCTACAACATTCTTTCAATCTACAGTTTGGGAGAATCACCCACATAAAAAACTATATATAGGGAACCACATATTAGAAACCAGCTGGACAGGAGTGGGTAGCTAGCTATCTGTTCAGTAGCTGGTACTTTGGGAGGACCTCCCTGAACAAGCACATGATGCAATTGGGGGAATTTCCAATTTAATTTTTTATTTATTAAGTATAAACCCCCTTGAAAACAAGATGATGCATCTTGTTTCTGACACAAAACATGGAAATTTACAGGCATTAAATACATAATAATAATAATGACAATAAAATTAAATAATCCAAGTCACACAAAACAAGATCATCTAGAACACACACATAAGGGCTCTCCCACAATCCGAAACCACACACATTGCATCTCTGTTACAAGTGCCATCTGCACAAAACTAATGAAACATCAAATAAATTAACACTTCCAAACAAAACTTTGTCAAATATTATGTCTAAGTACTATTATTTTTTTTTATAAACTTAGCTTCTAAGCCTACATGAGCACATCCTTTTTGGCTATTGCTCTTTTAACTATTTTCTTCCCAGACTTTTGAAAGGAAGGCATAGTAAAGACAACAAAAATGTTTTTGGCTGCAGGGAAATTATTCAAATTTACTCAGTGTGGGAGGCACTGGTAACAATGTAAATGCAAATCAGTCATAGCTGAAAAATGGCCTTGTTCAAGCTTCCCAAGAGAAATCAGGGTTACATAAAACAACCAGTAATATGTACCTGTGTGTGTCCGTACATGTGTTTTTAGGTGATGACTTGCAGCAAAGGCTTTGCCACAGCCATCATGGTCACACCTGAAGGCAAAGACAGGAAAAAAAAATGCAAAAAATGCTTGAGACACGATGCAAATAGACAGTGATGAATTTTCAAGAACAGCGAGTACCCATGACTCATCATTTACATATCACCCCCTATATCTGTACAGCAGATGGGAAACTAATGTACGAAATAGTGTATCTCACCATTATTTTGGGTCTCTGTCTAACCAAAATGCAGTTCCCAATACAACACAGTCCTAAAAATTGAGTTTGTGTAATAGTAGTAGAAGTAACAATACATTTTATTTCCAACACCCTTTATGTTTAAACAAATCCAAAGTCCTACAGATTTTAAAATACCTTGCATAAAAATCACAGACAACATTAAAACTGACAAAATGAACTAGCTGTGAGTATCCAGTAGTATCACAGTTCCTTCATCTTCTACTAGGGGTGGAGTGAACCTGGTGTGCTTATAATAATGCTCACCGGAATGGCTTTTCCCCAGTGTGTGTGCGAATGTGCTTCCTTAGGTCGCTGAGTGTGGTAAAGTACTTCGTGCATCCCTCGGATTCACAGTTGAATGTCTTGCCTGTGTGGAGTCTCTGGTGTGCTTTCAGTCTGCAGAGACAATCGAGTGTGTTTCATTAAACCACAGTGGGAAACAAACAAAGCAAAGTGGCATGAAACATCATGTGCTGCCTTCTGTTCCTCATTTTAAGAATGCCTTAAATGCACATGGAAAAGACAGTTGAGTCCACATTCAGATGACAACAGAATTTAGTCAGACACGACTGAACCAAGTACACACACTATTGCAACACTATTGGTCGTATAAGAGAATCTGGGTGGCATGGAAGGTTGGGAGAAGAAAGAGAACCACCCGTGTGTGGCATCAGTTAGCTGCCCTGAATAAACAGCCTCTGACAGGCAGTTGATGGCAGTGGCACAGATCCACCAAGCCCAGACATGTTGTCATAGCAACCGAACCAATACAGACCAGAGGGCTCAGATGTGGACTACTTAAAGTCACAGCAAAATACAGCAAAATCTAATGGTGAAGTTGCTACAACTGAAGATCGTGTCTGGCATTGGCCAAAATAGTCTAAAACTGTAATTGGGCCTAGTGTTGTAAGTGTGGATTTAGAAAATTTTAAATGGTACAGATACTCATGCACTATCAATCTCAGACAGCAGATTTACCAAATTTTAATCTTAAATGACTCAAAAACCCCAAAAAGGGGCAGAAAATAGCAACATAAGATGAAAACTGTAGGATTTAGGCCACCCTTTGTTACCGTTGCTATGTTCCCGGGTTGTGTGTGTGAGGAGTTGATTTGAGCGGGGTATTTCATTTAGGGAGAATGGGTAATTAGAAAAAAGCTAGGAATTATTGAGGGCAAACACACAGGACACAGCCCCCTGAGATGACAATGTTCTGCTTTTGGGCTTGGTATGTGTCATTTATGGACTGTTTATTTTGTTTTTAAAAAAGTTCTGGACTGATTATCTGTTTGGCACCTCTGATCAAATAAATGCCCTTAACCCTTTAACAGAATTTGTAGGCTGCAAGGAACATACTTCAAATACTGGTTTTTAGTAGAGATGTAATAGTTTGAGAATTGCATAT